CTATTTGAAGCACTTAAATGCTAAATGAAACTTATTATAAAATGTGTACTTATTTATTTTATTCATGTATATTTTATTTTATCTGTAATTTTGTCTATTTTTCTATAATGTTGCATTTTTGCATAATTTTGACAGTGAATTTGTCCCGTTTGTTAATAATAAATAAATATAAATAAATGTAATAATAAATGTAAGTTTCTTTAAACATTTAAGTTTTATTTCCCAAAATACATTCTTAATATGCACAGGATGACACCACTTTTAGTACTTTATGCAATGGCGTTGACGTCTAATTTACATCCTGAGCGCTAAAATAGATGTCCGAAAATATCACAAAAGTCCGTCAAGTAAGTTCTCTGGACGTATTATGGACGTCCGATTAAGGTCCAATTAACGTCCCGGTACGTCCATTTTACGTCCGCTCGGGACGTAAAATGGACGTCCATAGGACGTTTGGCGCAGCGACATTCGGACCAATATAGGACGTAAAACGGACGTAAATAGGACCAAAGCGGACGTTCGAGGGACGTCCCTAAAGTCCGCGAAGGACGTACTATGGACGTCCACTGGACGTACATGTGCTATTAGGGTAGATCTCGTTGTTTTGTTGGCACTGGCATAAGTACCTGATGTTTGGGCCAAGTTTTCTGTACTGCTTGCCTCATGTGGTGCTTGATTTGTTTTTTGTCTCTTTTGCTGGATTCTTAGTGTTTGTGGTGTATTGTCATTTCGTGTGGAGTATCTTTTATTTAAGATGTCCTGGTAGACTTGAGATACCTTAGAATTTGCTGGGTAGAGTACACCACATAGAAGACATTTTACTGGGTTTCCATCCTCCTTCGTTTTTTTACAAGTGCGATAATCATGACTGCGCATATTTTACGCATCGATATTGTAGTGTAGGTACACTGATTTCTCGAATTTCCGTAATTTTGTTAATTAAACAATGTTAAAAAAATGTAATGTTAAAAAACAAATAATATTGATTTACTTTACATGTATTGAGATTAAAAATATATGTAAAAACTTAAGTCTGGCGCATTTGTTTAGAGTTTAGGTTGTGCCTTTTTTTAGCAGTTTAGGTTGGCCTCTTTTTATAAGCCAATCCGGCCCTGCTTCCATTTATTCCGACAAAACTAGAGAATCTGGATATAAATATCAGATTTCTATTATTCTGATAAGAAACTGTCAGAAGCAGTGGCGGCTTTTGGGGGTAGGCAGGTTAGGCCGGGCCTACCCAATAATTTTAAGAGCTTTAAAATTGAAAAATATATATTCAAAAATTATGTTAATGCATGTAAATAACTTTTAAATGTACTAAATCACTCAATACATTAGCGTCCGCTAAAACAACTATGTTATTATATTACCACAGAAAGCATCAAATCGTATTCAGGCATTTTAAATATCATTAATAGGCCCGATAGTAACTGGCCGACCCAGCGCACATAAGATCCCCGTACAAAAAGCGTTTGAAGTTAAGCAGTTTGCCGGACAACGATTTATATTGGCGTGTTTATGCTCGCTGTGTAGGCACCAGACGATCGGGCCTAGCATCGACCATCGTTGTCACTTGTAAGTAATTATCGAATTGTAATATAAATTTTCTTTTAAATTATGATAAAAAAATATGTAACATAATCTATAATTGTAACATATTTTTAAACAAACAACACAATTGCAAACAAGTTCACGGTTGCATAAATAAATTTTAAAAAATTCGTAAAATTCGAAAAAAAAAATCACATTTGCATGATTTCTATATCTTCTGATTGTATGCAACTTATATATGGCAACACTGGCATTAGTTCAATTTTCACTGTTATCTGTTATTACTAGTTGCACTAGTTGTTTGGTCGATCAAGGTTGATTTTTAAAAATTTTTCTTGGAATAGTGAGATCGTTTTATAACTGATACATAAAAATGAGTTTTTCTGACGCTTTACCAGGTTGCAGTAATAGTAATGTTGATAGTGAGTGTTTGGACATTGTTGTTTCACTATTGGAATTGCCATTATCTAGAAGAACTGAAGTTGATAGAAAAAAAATTATTATGAATGAAAGGCCTACTCCAACATTGCGTATTGACCAAAAAGATGGGAAAAAGGTGCGTACTTTTAATTGTTCTTGGTATGATGTCTATAAATGGTTGTCTGGAAGTATTACAAAAAATAGACTATATTGTTGGCCGTGTTTGTTATTTTCTAATAAGAAATGTGTATGGAATTGTGAAGGATACTTTGATTTAAAAAATATGTCTGCCTCCTTAAAAAAACATTCCAGTTGCAAGGAACATTTAAGTAATTTCCTGTCCTTTAAGGATGTGCAGAAGAGGGCGTTTTCTGTTCGCGATTTGCTAGATGAAAAATCAAAAATCGCAAAAATTAGATACAATGCAGAAGTTAAAATGAACAGAGAAATCATTAAAAAATTAGTTTCTTTAACTTGTACTTTAGCGAAACAGGAACTGGCTTTCCGTGGCCACGACGAATCCGATGATTCCCTAAATCCTGGAAATTTTAAAGCGATTTGGGAATTAATATTAAAATCAACTCCAGAACTAAATGATCACTGGCAGAAAAAAATATATTTCAGAGGTATCTCAAAAACGATACAAAACGAACTAATCGATCTAGTGAAAGACGAAATTCATATTTTTATCGAGAATGCCATAAACAACTCCACATTTTTTGCATGCATTGTTGATGAAACAACCGATATTACTGAAAGGGCACAATGTTCAATAGTATGCAGACTAGTGGACACAAAAGGCGTTGTTCAAGAATATTTCTTAGGTTTTTTTTATCTCGGGGAAGACCGAAGTGCTCCAGCGTTACGTGACTTACTGTTTAGTGTAATCGGTAAATTTGACTGTAAAGCTAAATTAATTGCTCAAACCTACGATGGAGCTAGTGTTATGTCGGGACAACTTAATGGACTTCAAAAATTAGTGTGAGATTCTGCACCATTGGCAATATTTACCCATTGTTTCGCTCACCGCCTCAACTTAGTTTTACAGCAAAGTTGCTCCAACATTACAACAGTCAAAATATTTTTCTCAACGCTTCAAGGTATACCAGCTTATTTTCACCAATCGTCCAAACGATCCTATTTTTTAAATAAAATACTTGGAAAACGAATTCCCACAAATAGTGAAGTAAGATGGAATTCAAATGCAAAAGTAGTTTATGCTGTGTCACAAGAAAGAAAGAAATTGTTACAAGTCTTTCAGGACATAATGAATTGCCCAGAATCAAATGCAAAATCAATTAGGCAGGCAGATGGTTTTAAACGTAAATTGGAGGACTTGGAATTTGTATTTTTATTAAATGTTTTTAGTGATATATTTCAACAAACTGAGCTCTTATACAACATATTGCAGAAGAAAAATAATGATGTCCAATTGTGTGCCAATTCAGTGTCCAGATGTGTTGCAATGTTAAAGAGCTGGAGAAATGACCTTACATTTTCTAACCATTTTAACATTTCTGTTAGCGAAACACATTCTGAACCCATCTTAAGTCATAGTGAACTTGATATTTTACCTGGTAGTGTATCTAATAACGGAGATCAAAGTTTTTTGGAGAAAGCTAAAACTAAATTTAGAAGGGTCTTTTTTGAGATTTTGGACAATATTATCACTCAATTAGAGCAACGTTTCTCGGATTACGCAAAGTTTCAATTTCTGGAATTGGGCGATAATAAAAGATTCACAGAATATGGCGCTAAATTTCCACAAAAAGCTTTGGACTCATTGATGGATACATGTGAACCACTTTTTAATAAATCTTTATTAAAAACAGAACTGGAAATGATTTTTTCTGCTATTCATCGTGAAAATTTTCACGATAAGAGTTTGTTAGAACTAATTAAAAGTATGTTTGATAACGAAACCAATGAAATTCTTCCTGAAAGCTATAAGTTATTTTGTTTACTTGCTACAATACCTGCAACAAGCGCTTCAGTTGAAAGAACGTTCTCCACTTTAAAGCGAATAAAGTCATCTCTTCGAAATACAATGACGCAAAATCGGCTTTCATCACTGGCTACTGTATCAATCCAGAAAGATGTTCTTGCTCGATTAATGGAAACGGGCGACACATTTTATGAACGAGTAATTGACAAATTTGCACAAAGCAAAGAGAGAAGAATAAACCTGCTCTTTAAATAATAAAATGTTTTTGTAATATACGTGTATATTTTAGTTCATAATTTTATTTATAAACAAATAGTTTACAAATAACATAATTAAATGTAAGTCTGTTACAGTTACCTTATAATTTTAAGTATTTTTATAAATAAAAATAAATTTATATTTACATGTATGTAAAAGAAAATCATGGATCTTGAGGGTGATTATTTTCTCTGATGCAAAGTTATTTTTAGTCTTACCACCAATAGGATAAGTGGATTTTCAAATATTTTTAAGGGGTGGGTCATGACCCCGTGACCCTTCCTCTGGTCCGCCAGTGATTAGACATAGCTTTATGTAATTTGCTGGCTTGGCCTACCCAAAATTTTACCACACCAGCCGCCACTGGTCAGAAGTATGTATAGTTTTAATACCTATATTTTCATTAGATAAGTAAAGCATTACTGAGGCACAGTATATTGCTAAAGATTTCTAAAGAATTATCTAAAGAATAATTCCGTATAAGCATATGCTTCTGCCAAGACTAAAAATCACAGTGAAAGATCCTTCTATGTCTCTATATTCTTTTTATTAGATAAGTAAAGCATTACGGGGGCCGTAATTTGATTTTATTATTATCAGAATTGTTAACTTTTTCCTTTTATATTTATTGCGATTATCAGAGCCTTAAAATATACACTTTTAGACTTTTATAAAATATAAAGTATATGGCTATTATGTTCATAAAAGACGACATCTACAGTGTAACAGTCTCATATAGTTCCAGCAAATACCTCACACCTTAGACATCTACAGATATATTTGGCAATTATAGTAAAGATGGCGCAGTTAAATATAGTCAAAAATTATTCTTGAAGTTATATAAACAAAATAGATATATTATTATAAAATTATGTTATTTGTATATTAAAATTTAAATATATTCTTTTAACTTATTTAAGATAATAGGTTAAGTTCCATTGTAAGTATAAGTACAATTACAGTAATTGTTATTGCATTATTGGACTTTGAACCGACATTATCTGGATGAGTAGAATTCATAAAATATTTAAGTTTAACGTTAGAAGTTTCAGTATTTCATATACATAGTGCAGAAAACATGAGTGTGAAATTATATTACGATCTCCTGTCACAGCCATCAAGATCACTCTTTATATTTTTAAAAAAAGCACAGGTACCTTTTGAACCCTGTTTGGTAAACTTGGGAAAAGGTAAGTTTTGACATGAATACCATTCAATATTATAAAACTATGTATATTTGGACTATATTGCCTAAGGCCAAATATTTCTATTATTATTAAGCACTTATGTGCACAGTATATTGCTAAAGAATATTCTTTATTAGTAATATACTGTGGTATGGGCTTGAATTTAAAATCCATTGCCATACACTATAAGATGATGATTTTTTGTTTTTATAGAATTCATCTTTTAGTTCCATTAGATTTTTTCAGTTACAGAACTCATTGCCATACACTATAGATGACGATTTTGTGTTTTTATAGAATTCATCTTTTGGTTCCATTAGATTTTTTCAGTTACAGAACGCAGTTCCTCTCCTTTCACTGCTCTGAATCAACTGCAAGTATCCATTATCACATTCACATATTTATCTAATAATAGATTCCTAAAACATTTTTTTATTTCAGTCTTATTACACTATGTATTCACAGTTATCATACTATTTATTTTGTATTTGCTCAGTGTCAACTGAGAAATATTTACATAATATTATAATGAGAAATATTATATTTATAAAATCAATTTAAAGATACAGGAAAATAGGAAAGCTTTATTGAAAATAATTGTTTAAATATATTTCAATTTGACTGTTAAAAATTGTAGATAAATACAAAACTACCTCTAGCAAGTAATATTACAGTATACGGTTAAAAGAAGTATTCTTTTTAGCATTAAATTGCTAATATCATGATAGAGCTTATAACTTCTTAATGTTAATATTGCTAATGAAGGCAAAATGTATTAAGTTTTTCGAATGTCAGTGTAGTAAGAGGGTAAGATCTCTATTTACGAACCTGACATTTAAATGAATGGATTCTTTTTGCAACTCTCAAAGGCTATTGTAATTTTCACTATGATCTGCAATGATAAGTGTTACTAATAAGCTAATTATTTGCCAGAATTATGCTACTGTTAAATGATATGATAAACTATTCTGTAAATAATTTTAATTCGCAATAGTGACAATAGAGAAATTACTTTTTATTACTGCCATATAAAAATGTACTAAATGTTGATCAAATTGTCAAATCTAAAAGTGGCAACAAAGAAAAGACCAATTTATATTTAAGTAGTTCAAAATTGTAGAAACCTCAATATAAGGCAAACAAAGTATAGAAGTGGAGAAACTTAAAATTCAATGTTATGTTTAAAAAGTAAAAAAATGACTAACCCATTTAGGGTTTAAACTAAAACTCCTGAAAATAGTAAAGTACACTGACCAGCAAAAATAACCAGACACTAACTTTATTTTAAGTAAAATAAACAGTATAAGAGAAACATCAATTAAAACTATTGTGTGTTCAATATTTACTATGACTATTGGCTAATGTAGAAAGAAATAAAAATTTACTTTTTTTTTATTTCTGAGTAAGATATTTTTCAAATCAAAATCATAAAATATTTTTAAAATATGGATACTAAAATCAAGTACTTATTTCTTCTTCGAGCTCGAATATAAGTTCCCATTCTTTCTAGCATAGACCAGATCGAAGTAGCAATCTCGTTTTGTGACATTAGTACCCACTCATATATTAGTGCCTGTTCTAACACTATCACAGTTTTGATTCACATATATGTGAATATCTGAGAAATTACGTACAACATACAGATATGTAAATATCTGAGAAATTACATACAATAGTAGAAGGTTTGTTTATTTGAAATGGGCTGTGGATTTTGCTGACAGTTGATAAGTTGGTCCAGTTTGTGTTTCCAGGTTTGGGTTTTGCTGTCAGAAAAGTGTCCCATAATAATGGATGATTAAAGAGTAGATGTCATTGTAGGTTTTGAAATGTTGTCGGGTGGAATGAATTGAATTTCAAAGAAGCAAAAACTCTAAAAACTCTAAGTTGCTCTAAGAATTTTGGAAATGGATGAAGATTTATTGTGATGTTTAAAGATTTGAAAAATTGAAGATTTTAAGAAGATTAGAAAAAGATTTAGTAACAATGAAAAATTCCTTCCTCCCTGAAGAGGTAAATGAAATGTTTGGATAAATTATCTCTTATCAAGACACATTATCTATTATAAAAGACTGCATGTCTACTTTCCATTCCAAAACTATTTCTATTGTCCAATCAAAGGTGGCCCAATGGAATCCCCCTATCTCCTGTAATAGCTGATATCTACGTGGAACATGTCTAAACAACATCCCTGACCTCATCAAATCTCAAATGCACCTGCTGGTTACGGTACATTGTTGCTATTTGGTCCCATGGTAAAGATAGATTAGATCTCTTCCTCTCCCACATGAATGGAATACATCCCAGTATTCAATTCACGATGGAAGTTAAGTCTGAGGTGTCTTTTCCATTCCTTGATGTTCATTTAGAAACACCCACCGCACAGTTTTTTCTATTCCTTGTACCGGAAAGCCACCCTTACAAACTGTTATCTCAATTCCAAGCCACATTATCACCCCATCCATCTCAATTCAGTTATCAACAGTCTTGTTTCCCGTTCCGTAAGACTTAGCGACGACAATCACAGATCATCCACAATCAATTCAATAAGGCAAACACTTTTACAAAACGCCTACCACAAAACCCCAATCGATATGAACATTCAAAAACATCTAAACCTCATTCCATCCAAAAAAGAAATCTTGCCGCCAGATCAACCCAAAATTTTCTATCTCTTATCAAAGGTGTTACTGACAGGATAAGTATATTTCTTAACCCTCTAAACATCAAAACCATCTTTACTACTCACTCCAAGTTGTCCAATCTCGTCAGATCCATAAAAGACCAAATCCCCAATGAAGACCATGGTGTCTACAAGATACCTTGTTCAAGGTGCCCAAGTACATACATAAGACAGACAAACCAAAGAATTCCACAACCGTATTTACGAACATTATATATCTATAAAACATTCCGATACTACTTCAGCCTTAGCCCAACATCATATTCATACTGGTCATAAAATAGATTTCGATAAAGCAAAAATCATCGCTTCTATCCGCTCCTTAAAATCGAGAATTTTTCGTGAAGCCATCGAAATTAAAAACCGCTTTTTCGTTTCCGCGCATACCGTTCTCGCGCACACTGTGATTAAAGCAGCTGCACAGGGTAAAACCGGTGGTTACTCGACACTGAGGTGTAGGCAGATTGAGACCGCAGTGCTGTTTGACGGTTCTTGTATTTCTATAGAACAAGATGTACGTCACGAGTGAGGGGAGTAGGCAGGTTGAGATTCCGAACCTGAACGGAACCATATCGCTCTTGATTATCTATCTATCTATACAGCACTTGCTGTCCAATTTTGGACATAGGCCTCCTCTTCCTTCTTCCACGTCTCTCTATGGTAGGCAGTTTGTATCCACTTCGGGCCTGCGTGTTTCTTTAAGTCATCTGACCATTTCATTTGTGGCCTTCCTCTTTTTCGTTTGTAATTATATGGTCTCCAGTGTATAATCATCTTATTCCATCTGTCGTCTTTCTGTCTTATGCTATGTCCAGCGAACTTCCACTCAAGTTTTGCTATCTGCGTTGATATATCGGTCACTTTTGTTTTGTGGCGGATCCAAGTATTTCTTTTCTTGTCTGATAGCATTTTGTCTTCCATGTTTTCCTTTGTAAACGTCCAAGTTTGAGAACCGTAGGTGAGAACAGTAAGTAATACATTCGTTAAAGACTCTTGTTTTTAAATATTGGGGTATTTTATATTTTTTAGTATATAGGAAAGTTTTCCGAAGGATACCAAAGCCAACCGTATCCTTCTCTTTATTTCTCCGGCATGATTTTCTTTATTTAATTTAACTAGTTGTCCCAAATATACATATTCTTGTACTTGTTCTATATTTGTTTGTGCAATTGTAATTATTAATTCTTCTAGTTGGTTGGTCATAATTTTCGTTTTATTATCATTCATTTGTAGACCTATTTCTGTTGATTCGCTATTTAATTCATCCATCATATTTTGTAATTCTTCCCTTTTATCTGTTATTAATACAATGTTGTCTGCATATCTCAAGTGAGTCAAGTATTGGTTATTTATGTTAATACCCCGTTTTTTCCGTTGTAATTTCCTCATAACGAATTCCAAAGCTTGATTCAATAGTTTGGGTGATATAGTGTTACCCTGTCGGACTCCTCGCCGTATCTTAATAGGCTCCGTTTGATCAACTATTTTAATGGATGTTGTTGCTTGATCGTATATATATATATATATATATATATATATATATATATATATATATATATATATATATATGAAAATTAAGTCCGTATATATATAGTCTATATAGTCTATTTTTTCTTCTTCCTGGACCTCTTCTTCCTTCCACTTTCCCTTCCATTATAAGTTGTAGGAAGTTGTATTTTTCTCCTCTGTAAATATGTCGAGATAACTCATTTTTCTGTTTTTTACAATATTTAGTAGTTCTCTCTCAGTACCCATTCTTCTTAGCACCTCGTTGTTGGTCACGTGCTCTGTCCAAGAGATATTCAGCATCCTTCGAAAAACCCACATCTCAAAGGCTTCTATACGCCTCATACTTGTAATTCCGAGAGTCCATATTTCCACTCCGTATAGCAATATGGAATAAATAAACGTTTTTACAAATTTGTATCGGATATACAACGATAACGTAGAGTTTATTAGGAATTTTTTCATTCGTTGAAATGCGGAGCTAGCATATTCTATATCGAATTCTATATACGAATATACGATCTATATACGATCACGTATTTCGACCTCGTGGTCAAGATCGTTTGTTATCCAGCAAACAAGATACTGGAATCTTTGTACTGGTTCTATATGTTTCTTATAGATACGAATATTAATGTCGACATTTGGTGCACTTGTAACAGCCATTATTTTTGTTTTATTTGTATTTATATTTATATTCAAAAGTCGTTGTAAACCCTCAGCACTGTCCGCAATAATGACGGTGTCGTCTGCGTAACTTAAGTTGTTTACGTATTCTCCGTTGATTTTTATTCCTTCTTCAATATTTTCGAGGGCA